TGCTAGTCATAAGAATCTTTTTTTTTTTTTTTTTTTTTTTTTTAGCAGAGCAACAGGGATGGAACAAGACATCAAGGGAGAAATTAATAAAATACTAGTACTTCTAAAGTCCAACAATCTGTTTTTAGGGACAGAAAGGACAGAGGAAGGAGTAGATTGCACCAGGGTCTCAATATCAGTTTTTTTCTTCCCCCTTTCACTGCTGCAGTGTGTCGAGTGGTTTCTCGGCTCTGCGTGACATCAAACACTATGTGGTGAGTTTCAGGCTCCAGAGGGCAGATTACAGCGTAATGCCTTCAACATCTACTGCATCAGCACTATAAACACTTCACTCTGTGTCTGTGTGCATGTGTGAGAGTCTAGGAATACCCCATTCTTAATTCATCTATGGATTGGAGGATAAATGCACAAATTCTGTGAAAGCATGTTGGGTGACCCCAAAACTAAATGCATGCAAATCAATACACATTTACAACAAATCAATACAAAATACAATGCATTTTCTATGCACACACACACACACACACACACCATGAATAAAAAGGGGAATTCTATACTATGCCCTAGAGCAATTTTGCTCATGCAACTTAAATATTGAAATATTCCTGCACAAAGAACTTCTGCTATGATGTTACCATGGGCCATTTTGCTTTTGAGCAAGCATGGTTCGCCTCCAGCAGTTAAACTTGCGGCCATCATCCAGCGGGCCGGCACTGCTCAGGGACCTCATTAGTGCTTTCATGCTCGCCTGTGTCCATGACTTAAACATGACTAATGACAGCTGCTTTATGACCACTGCCGACTCTAGAGTCACAGCTAGGGGGCGCTAAACCTCATCATCATGGTGGATGGGGTTTGAGAGATTTCAGGTGAGTAAATAAATAATATTTGCTTCATACAACAATAAAACTTATAAATAATAATAGTAATAAATAACTGAGTGAAATTGAGTACATCAATAAACTTTCATACAACAAAAAAAAAATCATCAATTAGATCAACAATTCTATATGATATATTATTTTAATAAATAGGCCAGGAACAGGGGAAATATACATAAGTTTATATACAATGTACAAATTCATGATTAGTATAAATAATTTATTATATATGATACATTATGATAATTGATAAGCATTTCCTACATGGTATGCAGGCTGGGCTCAAACCTTGGTAGCCCACATGAGCACCATGGCTCCCCCTATACCCTCATTTACAGTTCCCTACATTAGTCCACCAATATAGTTCACTTGAGGGACTTTCAGACACTGAGTGTGCTGGAATGGCTGCTTTTGTACAGTTTATGCTTTTGAAACTTAGCAAACTGGCAGCTCCAGTAGTAAGATGGAAATATTTATATTGAACTCTGTCATGGAAACTATGTATAGACCTTAGTAAAAAAATGTAATGATTAATTAAAAAGGAATTTATACCTCTATGATATTACGCTGTACCCACATTGGACCAGCGGTTTGAAAAACGGATGGATGTGTGAGTCCTTCTTCTGGTCAAACACAGTAATTCATTCGGTCCCTGACTCTCACAGTTATTTATGAGTGTTCTCTAGCCATTGAGCTTGCATCGGTCGTACACTCGTTATTATGGTGCATTGCAGGATTGAATAAGTGCATTTTATAACGTCTACTATAGTTTCGGACACCACTACAAATGGCTGTTCCCTCAAACAGTGTCCACCCATTTGCATTAAGCTTTCCATTGTTAGAAACCCAGTTATACTATTGAATGGTCGTGCAACACTCTCTCTTTTTCCCCAGAGACGAGAGAAATCCGCTATTTACCTTTTTCACTTCCTCCTACAATGACGCAAAAATCATCATTTTACGTCATTGTAGGAGGAAGTGTAAGAGGGGGGATTTCTGTAAAGACTACAAGCACTAGATCCCACCCTTTCAAACCCGCCCATAGGGGGTTGGACCTTATGCGCGAACAGACCTATCACAGATCAGTGCCAGTGCGTTTGATTTCACCGGCAGAAACTTTTTGAAAATATGGACAAAGATACTGAATACGCAGACGGATGCATTATGGAGGATTGGGATTACACATAGTGTCAGCCATCTTTTTTGGAAGCTAAACTAGCAGGCTCTTGTTCTGTGGAGAAAGGCAAGAATCTAATAACTTTAGGGGTTACCGTCCTATTTTTCAAGGACATGTCCGGCCGTCGATGTCCGGGATTCAGCTTTTGCTTTCTGCAGTCGCCATTCATTGTTTACATGTAAGTTACAGCTTTTGTTTCAATCTAACTGAATGCATTCTGATTGGTGAATCTGAATGTTTACATGAGTGCTAAAAAAGTGATCGGTTGATGTGCGTTTAAACATTCCTAAGAAAATTCCCGCTCCTCAGTGAGAGATACGAGACCGGTAACTTACGTCTCACAGGTGTCGCTCATCGGTAATCACGCCACCGGCCTCACGTCGTTCTCCACACGGCCCTAGCCTCGTCCTGCTCGCCACAGTAAACATGATGAACGGCGACTGTAGAACGCAATAGCCGAATCCTGGACATTTTGGGCGATCTCGAAACACATTTTCGGGCAGACTCATCATGGAGACTCACTAGTAGCCTAGACTTGTTGTTTACCTACTGCACGGTTACCGGTAGGCATGGCCTCCTAGGACAGCGAAGCAAGTGCATTCTGGGAGTTGTTGTTTGCCATCCACATAAGCCTTAGTCTAAGTCTAAAAAGCTCCAAATTCAAAAATAATTCCACATTTCTTCTACATAAATTACCCATTTTAAATACACATTCATCTTTCCAGAGGTGGAGTGACCCTTTAAGGGTATAGGGGGCAATTTAGGATACAGCCTTGCACTGACAACAATGTCATGCCTCCAACCAATTTGACAGTTTTTTTTTAAGTCATCCAGATATCAGATCGCCAAAATGTCCCGTTCTTGAAAAACTTAGACAGACCGTTAATCTGATAAGGTGCGTTTGCAGGTACAATTCCAGAAATGCGATCTATGATTGGAGCATATTCGACAATTATATGCTCTCTAACTGTTTTCAAATGCATCAAAACAATTTGCATGATTTTACAAGATGATAGCCTTTACATTGGGTGTAACTCAATCTACTATACAAGGAGGGTGAGTACAAAGGTGAGCTGAACTTGGCTTGGTTTCCTAAAATGATTCCTGATATGAGCCTAACAAGAACTGACAGGAGCCATCTTGACCTGATCTGTCACTGAATCACTCTTGAAATGAGGTCAGGTACAGATTATCGTTGTGTATTGTCATAACTTCAGGCTCTGGTGTGGGTCGCTCGGCTTGTTTGGGCCATTAGCAGGGTGTGCCACAGTTTGCCGGGGTGGGATCCCCTCTCCGGACTGCCAGGGGAATATCATTACTCACTTCTGAGTAAAACAAGAAAGCATGGGGACTGATAGAAGACAGCTGCTTTTGCATAAGCTGTGTGGTGTTCTACTAGATAAAGCACGGTAAACATAAACACTCACAAATATGACCATGGGCCAAACGTTGCTCTCACAGGGTTGGTGTCAAGTTCATCTCAAATGAGTCAGAGAGAGAAAGATGATATACAATCCAGCTGAATGTTCAAATCCAGCCTTAAAATATTCAAACAAAGCTTTCCTATCAAAAATTAAAGACACAGAATGAAATTCATCCATCTAAGGTTAATGCCGGCAAGCAGCGGCAGAGGAAAGAATGGAAAAAGCGAGAAGAGTTGGAATAACCGGCCATTCCATTCATGTCACAAAAAACCGCTAAAGAAGATCCCAGTCTGTGTCCGGATTTCCTGTCCAACCAGCTGACAACAGTCATGCAACTTTAATATTCACAAAAACCAAAATCAGATTCCCGCAGTTTTACGCATGGGAGGACAAGTATGTCAGCTCTTGAGTGGAGAGCCAGAGAAACATCACTGCTAAAGAAAAAGCTGCAGTTTAATTGGAGAACATTTCCTGGGGGAAACTCTTGACTCTGAAACAATTACTTTCAATTAAATCTCATTGTCTCAATACGGTTGAGATGTAAGGGATAGGGGTTTGATCACCATCGCTTAGACATGTAAAAGTGTGCTGTCTAAACACAGCCCACACTGGCGATGTTAACATGTCTGATTGAAGCGACTGTAGCGATGCATCACTCTGATTGAATGCGTCTGGACATGTTGTACGTGTTTATGAGGATAATATCTCCATCAAATTAATGTACAGTCACTAACGTCGGATGTTCACGTCTATTAATCTTCTAAATGGAGAACACTTACTGATCATTAGGGAATACCGGCCGAGATCAGCTCGTGCGTCATGTGCAAGTGGATGATGGGTAAAAATACATTCAGGCTGCAGTGCTGAGCACAGAATCTAAGGTGATAGAAAATTTCAATGAAGCAAAAAGAAATCAAGGTGTTCTGTGTGTGTGAAAGCACTTTAACCACACAGAACACCTGGTGAGGTTACATCTTTTCAGCTTGCTCCTTAAAAATCAAAAGTCAAAACTCTATACCCTAATGGAGCAACTTTGGATGAGACAGACAATACTCCACCCTGACACACACACATACACAAAACATAAGCAACTGCAGAAATCTCATAATCACCAGTAAATCTCTGTAACCATGCCACACACTCAAACCAAATGACAGCATAAAAAACAGACTGGGAAACTGTTATGGAATCCTGGGTCATGGAAAATAATAGTCCAAAGACCTGTGGGAATGTCAAATACTGTTCATGTGCAAGTTATCATAGCATTTGACAACAGTTGACCAGCAGGAATTATTAGGCTAAACGTATACTTTGCCACCTTTTTAATATTTGTATTATTGCACATTGATTTAGTGTATCATTGCGTTGTGTGTGAATGAAACTTGTCTTGCTTGCTGATAATAACAAGATGAAAATACATTTAAATCGCATTGTAGCTACTTGCATTAAAAGTTTGCCGTTGTATGCAATGTCTTCATTCACAACTGCCTAGAATAACAGCAGGACTAATTCACCTACCGGATATTTCCGTTTGCGGGACTCCGTTCAGATTGAACCCCTTGCTGTTGTAGAAGTGCCTGATGTCCGAGCATGCCTTGGGTTTACTGTCCCCGAACACCAGCCCGGTGAGAGCGCACAGAAGCACCAGTACGGCAAAACCCATCCTGGACAGAAGAAAGACGCGTGATGTGCGAATCAAATCCAATGGCGAAGAGCAGCGGACAAACGCATCCACAGCGAAATGTATCTGCCGTTTCCAAAAGCGCACCGGTTCGCTCCCACGCGCTGTGTCTTAGTCAGTGGCAACAGTTTGAATTAAAACGGAGAGCGCGATCCTGTGTGAGAGATGAGGGAGGAATGACACGCTCACGGGAGCTCACAGTTCGGAGACGCGTCTGTGCGCTCGCGTTCGGTCAAGTGCGAGGCGGAGCGGGGCGTGCGCGCGAGCGAGCGAAGGCACCAACTGCAGGGCATCGGGTTCGTCTGCCGCCGCGATCCTCCACAGGATGTTGCATCAAATCATCCCGCTGGCCAATGAAGACGGGATTCCATTTCCCCACAGGCTCTCCTGTAGGACAGAATATTATAACGATCTCTGAGATTCATTATGCAATTTAGTGAAACTCTGGGTTTGAGCTGACTTTATGTCATTATGCTGGATTTTTGTCTAGTCCAAAGGCATAAAGTAAGAACTTTATAAGGGATTCAGTTTGGAATCGTACTTTGGAACCAATCCTAAATTATCCTAAAGGGAATTTTGAGGATTAGGACATAATATAGGCTGCTACACTGAATATGTCCCACGTGTGCATCCTGAGCATCCAAGTGAAGCAGAATGACACTAAATTGGGTCTAATTATTTATTTATTTTTTTTAATTTAACCACTTCAACGACATTCAAAAAAAAAAAAAAAAAACGCACACACGTGACCTCATTGCTGCTAGCCTATATTGTAAATGTTAATCTGTTCTGATGCGCCCCAAAGAACAAGGATTTTAACCGTTTCCAGTTAGGCCTGTGCGACTTGGGAAATGGCCGAATACGGTTATCAATTACAAAATAAAAATGTTTCATTAAAAAAAAGGGAACATCTGAGATGATCATTTAAATCACAGCTAAAAATCAACTAAAATTGCTTCCTGTTTTGGTTTCCATGGAAGGTCAAGGTCAAGCATGTTGCATTATGGGATATAGTGATCTTAAAGCAATTATAGAATCTTAAATATAATCTAAAGTATTTGTAAGATGATGCTAAACATTCTCAAATAAAACTGTATAAAGTGAAATGGATAGGGGAATAATCTTCCTTTCTACTGGCCGCAAAAACGCCTCTCAATAACAGAGTTGGAAGATTATATTGAATTATTTATGAGTGAAATAACAAGGTTGAGTCCCAGCCTCTCTATTTCATGTTAAATGTAATACTCAGTCATATTTATTACGGTCCCAGACTGTCAACCCCTCTGCGGACAGGCCAGATCCTGACATGCTTCAAAGATGCAGTAAATTTTTGAACAGGCTGGAGCTCGCCTGTGACAATACACACACCCGTAGTTATTCCTTGACAGACGTGCTGTTTTCTGAGTCATGTCTGCAGCCTGCAGTTTGACAAATCTGACAGGAAACACTGAGAGAAAATACCGGCCCCGGGGCCACAAACAAAAGTCGACGGGAATATTACAAAGATAATCCAGGAAATGTAGAGCTGAAAAGAGAATAAAGGAGAGCGAATATGAACAGGTAAGAAAAAAAAAAAAAAAACAGTGGCACACTTACATGGGTGAGCAATGAGACATTATACTTGCATAACAAGTGAGCGGAGCTGCCAGGGACATGTGTGTGAGTGAATAGCGGGGTGTGGCGGGTTAGAACGCTTTCACAGAGAGGCACACAGTTAGTTAAATGTAACTTCGCCCTTACTTTCCTCTAGTCTAGCAGTTAAGATAATGATTACGTTGATTCTCTGGCTTTATTTATATTTCACACAAATCTGAAGCAGACAGTGTCATCGACATCTGATGTATATCTATATCAGTCGATGTGGAAATTGTGTGTCTGCACAATGCTAAAAGACTTTCTCCTTTTTAAATTATATTTTCAATATATATATATATATATATATATATACTGTCCCCGAACACAGAATATATATGAAGAGTTCAGATGCAAAAGCCTCTAAATGCCATTTGAAATTTTCTTCTAAAATGATCATTTTTATCAAGCTTGTATATTTAAGTTCAGTAATTTCACTTAAATGGCAATGAAGATTACCTATTATTTGTCATTTAAGTGAAATTACTGAACTTAAATATACAAGCTTGATAAAAATGGTCATTTTAGAAGAAAATTTCAAATGGCATTTAGAGGCTTTTGCATCTGAACTCTTCATATAGGCTACAGTGTGTGTTTGGTCTGGTAAACCATACATTGCAATATCCAAAATCCTTGTCTTTGTGCAGCCATTTTTTTTGTCCCAATAGCTTATGATGTTTTTTGAAAATGTGAAAATGCAGAAAGTTTTCTTTGACTGGTAGGTTTAGGGGTAGGGTTAGTTTAAGGGGATATAATTTACAGTTTGTACTGTATAAAAATAATTATGTCTATGGAAAGTCCCCATTAAACATGAAAACACAACATGTGCCTGTGTGTGTGTGTGTGTGTGTGTGTGTGTGTGTGTGTGTGTGTGTGTGTGTAAGAGCAAAATTACAGTACACAGTTTTGTTGAAATTCATGTACATCATGAAATATTTTAGTTAAAATAGACTCCACAAACTTGAAACAAACTCAATAGAAATCTAAATTAGGATGACTGCATAAAAGTGCAATTCCAATGTAATGTAAATGTACATTAAATGCAACAACACACAAACGCTAATCAAGCTAATCAAAACTCAAATAAGTCTGATTCAATCAAACTAATCAGACTTCAGATTAAACTCTGAATTCACTGTTCTTTCTTTCTTTCTTTCTTTCTTTCACTCATGGTACAATTCACATATGCTCACGCAGAATAGAAAAGACAATGCAGACAATACTATAAATAATGAATTTATAACGTTGGAAATAAACTTAAGGAGGAGGCATTCATACTGGCTCAATTCAGCATCATTATATCATTTTCTCAGAGCAAACACAACAAATGCCTTGATGCAGTTTTATGTCAGTCTGTGCATAAACATGGATTTTTTTCTGTTGTGCCTGAGAGACAGTGAGATGCCATTTCAGAGAACGAGTGGAGCAAATTCAGCTCATCTAAACAAGAATAGCAACAGTGGTGGCAGATCCTCTCCCACAGAGGCAGAACTCAACTGAGTGGAGCTGAATCTCATGGTGCAGTTATTACCAAAGGTCCATCAGATTTGCTGGTCTTGACCCATACACTGGTCTCACAAGGTTGCCTTGTGGGATTTTTGTGTGCTGTTCAGCTTGCTCACAGTGAGTCAGGCCCTCGGAGAGCCAAAAAGCCACTGAATGCAGGTCTGTCCGGTCATGTGATCAAAGTCTTTTGGAGAGGGCTGACTCATCCATGCCCACTCATCTGACCGGTCATCACAACATAACATGTCTGATGTCACAAAAAAGACGCATTTTGTCAATCAGTCTGACAACGAATGATTAAATATGAATCATCTTCACAGCTGAATCTTTAATTAGACTCTTCTGATCGGATCTGGGGATATTTGTAGAAAGATGACGTAAAAAAAAAGAAGGGAAAATACATTTATAACATTTGACAGGTTTTTTTTTCTGCACATAATAAACACAGAAGTACATGTACATGTACAGAGGGGGGAATGAATGTTTAGAGGTCTTTCATGGGTCAGAATACTCAAAGAAGATCTCAGTTATGTGACAAAATTTCGGTACCGCTTCCTTTTACAGTATTTACAGTGTACTTACCTAGAAAGTACTGGCTAATATAAGGTAAGCACATGGAACAGGGGTAGGTTCAGGGTTAGTACTAGTTATTACCCAGTAATTGTAGTTAAAAAACTAAAATAAGTACATATAGTATTTACATGGGTAACTGGACTGTAAAAAGAAGCGTTACCAAAATTTCTTAGAAATCAAACAGGCCACAATAGATTGCATATAAAGAAGATAAAATGAACAGTGAATTATATGTTTCAAAATGATACAAATAACATATCTCAACATTAGAGAAGATTATTCTTGATAAATGTCAATTGTGAGTTCTTCTAAATGAATTACAGTTTATTTACGCACTACCCAGAAATATTTTTATACTTACAAATACGTATATACAAATGTTTCCAAATATAAAAAGATGTATCCAAAGATAGCTGAATGTGAATTACCATACAAAGTGTAAATACAAATAAATGTCATTTTGACAAGAAAAGGGACATGGTTTGGATTTTCTTCTGCTCTCCAGGGCTGCATTTATTTTGATCAAAATTTCAGTAATGATCACATGATCCTTCAGAAATCATTCTAAAATGCTGGTTTGCTGCTCAAGAAGTTGAAAACTGCTGAACAATAATCTTTTTGGAAACCATGTTCTTTTTTCTTCTTTGACAATTAGAAAGTTGATGATTTAAAAAAAACAGCAATTGAAATGTTTTTTTTTTTTTTTTTTGTATAACAATGTAAAGTATTTACTGTCACTTTTGATCCATTGTATCCATTGTATTCTATACAGACAGACAAATGAATGGATGGATGGATGGATAGATAGATAGAACGTTTCATCTGTCAGAAGCGCTTGAACTCCTCTTCCTGGCTTCATTGCCAATGTGACACAGAGTTCTGAATGCACAATACAAAAACAAACCACTCTGCTACAGGAAATCAATCTCCATTTTAAATTATTATATAATAGTATTTGAAGCTCCCTCTTCACAGTGACGTGGGCTTGCTGACGTGGGGTATTGTGACCGAGCCCCTGTGGGGCTGAAGTGGTTGTCGTGGCAGGTGGCGGAAGATCTGCTACGGGGTTGTGCAGCAATAATTACACAAATAAGCTTCTCTGCCCATGTTTGCTCCAGACAGACGCATTCAAGTTTTATTGGATCTGACCATGAAAGAGCCTTCTGCCTAATGAGGAACAGAAGCCGTGTGTGTGTGTGTGATTATGATGGTGTGTGTGATGATGGTTTAGGCCCTCCTCTTTACCTCCTCTTCTCCTGTTGGGTTTTATTTAACCGGTCTTACTCGACGAACCGAGGTCTCTGACGTGGACGGCGGGTGCTAACAAAGGCAGCCTCAAGCATCAGTCGCTAGTGAGACTCTCAAGGCCAGAGGAGTGAGGTTATGCTCTTACTTGCCTACCTCTGAGTCCGTTACACATGTTTTATGGGGACTTTCCATACAAATAATGATTTTTATGCAGTACAACTGTATATGCTGTCCCCTACACCTAAACCTATCTATCACAGAAACATTTCTGCATTTTTAAATAGTTTAAAAAGATAAGTTAATGTGATTTATAAGCTGTTTAATTCCTTATGGGGACCAAAACATTTCCCCAAAGGCTTTGGATATTGCCATCTTTGTGGGGA